GGGGAGAGCAGAGGCTGCCCCTCCGGCACCAGGACCTGCCGTCCTGCTCCTCCCGCCTCCCTTGGGGCCTCAGCCCTCCCCGAAAAGCACAGCACCCTTTGCATTGCCTCCCTAAGGACACTTTCTCACTGTATATATACATATATATATCCCTGGTAGCCATTCCCATTTGCATTCCCTAAACATCATCCCTCACTTTGTGTTCACCCTTAATAAACCGGTTCATCTGTGGAGCAAACCTTGGGTTTAGAGGCAATTTCTGAGCGTGGGGGGGGTGCTTTCTAACTACCTCCCTGAAACAGGGCCCCGCAGTGGCCATTCCTCTGTGAGAGGTGAGAGCCACGTGTGACCCTTGGGCTCAGTCACAAACCCCCCCACCCACATTGGGGGGAAGTCATGGGAGCGCCCGACAGCCGGGAGCCCCAGTACCGGCTCGGGACACCCGCCCAGGTAGGGAAGGAGAGAATCATGGAGGCTTGTCTGGACTGAAAACTAAACTAGACAGCTTTAATTAAACACTAATGACAGAAGGATGGATGGATGGATGGATGGATGGATAGATGGATGGGTGGATGGATGGATGGATGGATGGATGGATGGATGGATGGAGGGATGGAGTCCTCCCTGGACACCAGCCATGGATGAGAGAGAAGGGGAGAAGCAGCAGGAAGGGGCTTGACTTCCATGATCCCTGAGCTCACATTGAGCTCAAGCAGATCTATGGAATGAAATACTCTGGTCAATCTGCTGCCCCTCTGGTCCACCCCTCCCTGAGGGGGCTACAGATACGACCCCTCTGCTCTCAGCAGCACCCCCGAGGCAGCAGAGCGAGGAGACCTTGATGTCTCAGCTGTAACATAAACGTTCCAGTGTTATCAGCCCAGCAGCTGGAACACTTGCTGCCAGTTCAAGGAGAGCTCCCTGAAGGAAAAAACGCCAGTCACAGGAAAATGGGCTCCATCCTGGCTCAAAGCAGGACACACAGTCTGTGCCCCCAGCCCTCTCCTGCCTCCTCCGGGCGCTGCGCAGGCTCAGGGCCAGCGGCCACCCCCGGGGACCCTGGCAGGGGCTGCTGATCTGTGCTACCGGTGCTGCCCGGCCCCAGGGAAGCAGTGGAAAATCCTGCCCAGAGCCCAGAGCAGCCTCCTGAAGAGGGAGGGTCGGTGCTGCCGGGACCGAGCCCGCGGGGGCACGGCAGGAGAGCGGCGGGAGATGGTCTGTCTGGGCGGGCGGCGGGCGAGCTGCTGCCTGCGGGGCTGCTGGGGCAGGGCGGGCTGTGCCAGGGGCTGCCCGAGGCCTCGGAGCGGGGAAAGGAGCTGCTGGATCCTCCTCTTCTGCCAAGGAGGCGATGGCTCTGAGGGCAAAAACCAGAGGCATGTGGTACTGCTCTTCCTCAAAATTACTGGCATGGGCAGAAGGTGCCAGCTCAGTGTCTCTGCTCCATCCTGAGTCAGAAGATGTGCTCTCCTTGTCACGGTCTTCCTCTCCAGCAGGCTCTGTGCTGGATGACTCCTCTGAGACATCATCGGGGTGCTGAGGTGACATCTTGGATGAGGGGCCACCCCACATGGTGCGGATGCTGCTATTGTCCCATTGGGGCTCCTCTTGGTTGCTGCCATGTCCACTGCAGTTGTCCTCAGTGTCCCAACGTGTGGGCCACTGTTGGCCCCTCCTTTTGGCCACGCCGCCGGCCGGGCCCCTTGTGCTCAGAGAACAACGCCCTGATAATGGGCTCATGCATCTGGTCCCAGGTTGTCCCCTGCCCAGCTGGGGCAGAGGCTGTGGGGGTGGGCTCGGCAGGACCCCCCCGGCACCTCTCCCTGCTGGCTGTGCCATCACCACGGGACGCCCCTGACGGGCTGCGGACCAGGGGCAGGGACAGCCGGCGGACGCCGGCCCGCCGTGCCAGGCTC